CCCCAAAACCCCAAAACCCCAAAACCCCAAAACCCCTTTTTGAGATTTAAGAATTGATTAAATTCATGTTGTTTTGATGTATTTTTGAACAAATGCTTCTTTTAGAAGGTATTGGGATTTGACTTTCAATTTAAATTGAGAATGATGATAGATTTGAAATGTGTGAGGATCTAGAAAATCTTGCATTAACTAAATCAAACAATTCTTCATTTCTTTTCAAATCTTCTTCCCTAAGTTCTTCTCCAGAGATTGGATCTGTTCCATGCATTTTGATGTACTCTCTAATTTTACTCTCTTCGTAAGTGTTTCCTTGAGGAGTTATATAAGGGTTTATCATTGTTACTCCAAAGTAAGGATCTCGCAAAGCATTTAGAATATCTACTAATTTTATGCTTTTTGAGGTTTCTGTTCTGTTAGGTCGTCTTGACCTTTTCATTCTTTTTCTTTTAGTCAGTCTGGAAGCCTCTGGCCAGCTTCTAGAGCTCTTACTTTCTTCAATACCATCTCTCAAATTCCCAGCACTCTTGTTCTCTTCATCTTTATCGTTTCTCTCAGTCATATTATCCTCTCCAAGGTTTATACGATTTTCGCTAAAATTATTATCTGATTCACTTTCCGAAACTTGAAATGATTCTGAAAGCTTTTTCTCTTCTTCAAGTTCTTCAGATCTCTCTCTCAAACTTTTACCCTGTCTTCTCATTTGAAAGCCATAATCTAACTCTTTGTCTTTCAAGGCCATGATCGAGGTTAGGATCTATATTTGCATCCTGTTCATTTTCTTCGATATGAGAGTTATCAAATATAATATTTAGTTCATCATCATAGATACCTCAGATGGTAAATTCTCTTTTCTGTTCTTCTCTCTGTTGGTTACCTCCATTCTCTTCCATTATTTCCTTAATTATTTTATTTCAGTTCTTCTCTTGTCAAAGGCATTTCTTCTTCATTAACAATATTTCCTTCCTTCATTATCTTATCACAATTTCTCTTATCCTCTATCCAAGACGCTATAAATCCAAGAATTCCAGCTCCGGCTGCCACACCGGCTCCTACCACTCCAGTTTTGCCTCATTTTCCTGAATCCCACATTGACTTCGAGAGATCCGAAATTTTCCCTGCATTTTTGAACAGAAAATTTCCTGTAGAGCCTCACATGATTATTCTATTCTTGCTTCTCCTTTGGAACATAATTTCAGCTTCAGCTGACGTATCTGGGTAGATCTGGTTATTTATGAGAAGGTCTGCTAAGTTAGATATTCCAGCTTCAGTGTCAAAGTTAAACACGAGATCTCTTTGAGATAGCATAGATATTTTATTTTATTTTCGTAATTTTTAGTAGTGAACAAAATCAACTTTTTAACCACAATTTGGGGTTTTGGGGTTTTGGGGTTTTGGGGG